CACACATATATACAAGTCAAGCCAGCGGCCATAGTTACTGGAAAAGAGTGAAGGGGTGAACAAATATGTAAACACATATCAACTTCATAGACCTTTATAGCTAAACAAATGAATGGGAGGTCTGGATCAAACTACAGCATTATATTACAGCAGAGTGTGTGTGTTTCCGTGACAGTATTCCAATAATAGAGGGATGGTGTGCGCGTGTGGAGAGAGAGGGAGGGAAAATAGGGACTGTGTGAGAAAGGGAGAGAGACAGAGACAGTGTGAGATTATAATTTGCACACCCTTTAAATCAGGATACAGCATTATGTAAAATTTATTACCCTGGGAAAAGAAGTTTGCAAGTTTGAATTGCATACAGGACAGTTCAGAGATAGTTAGATGTAAAAAAAAAAGAAAAAAAAAAGGAAAAAATATAGGTTTATAAGATGTCAGAAAGGCAAAACTGTAACTTCTGAAAGAATTAAAACATATTCTCTAATCTTATAAATTAAAATGGAATTTAAAAGCAATACAATGCAGCCTTGCTCCATTCAATACACTTCAATACATAAACTCAGTCCTCTCATTTATTTGTATGGAACTAGTCTGATATTGCAGTGGGGGGGCTCCGACATAAAAAACACACGGTCATCAGGCAATAAAGTTAAACCTGGCTCAACTGCAATGTTATCTAATAAGGCGCCTTGTTGACCAATCAAATACATCCAAACGCACATTTCTGGTGGATTCACTTCGTAACGTGAAAGATCTTTTTTTCTGTTTATCTACGATCGTCGTGGCGAAAGATACAATAGTTGCTGCCGTCAAAATAGTTGCCACCATGACAACTTTCCAGAATTAAAAAAAATCCTGTTTAAGTATCACAAACCGTTGTCCAGTGTTTTGGAAAAAAAGCATTTTCCTCATAGACTTTCGATTATAAAAGAGACTGTGTGTCTATAAAACTGTTAACTGGACACCTCGAACAGCAAACAAGCAAACAAACACTTTCTATTGTGAATTTTTGGTCAATGCAGGTTTTATATTTGTAAAACGTTTCTGGAACAGTGAAAGGTGATTTAAAAATCTGTGATGTCAACACAAAACAATTGTCTATTGGCTGAGCGGGAACTCAAGGTTGGGTCCAGCCAGAGAAAGTCCAGTATCCAGATCTTGAACACATTAATCTACCACTAAAACTGGACTTCATGGATCGTATTTCATTGCCTCATTGGTACCTTAAACAACACGCAAGCACCAAAGTTGTTTTCAATCTGAATGCCCCTTAATTGTTCTAGTATGATCAGCAGCTAATGGTGGCTAATGTTAACAATATATATTATATATATATATATTATATTATATTATATTACTGAATTAGACTTTATGACTTTTCACCACTTGTGCTTCTGTTTTTATAAGCATTCAGCATTATTTTTTAATTGTCACTTGTGGCCGTTTGTGGTATGTTTATATACCACTCATTTGCAACTTCAAATACATTTTGAGTATATTTTAATGATCATCTCTGCAAAGTTGCAGAACGTTGAACATATCTGCAAAACGTTGATTAACAACATATGCAATTTGTTTTGCAGTAGCTTGTAGAAATGCTTGCAATGTTTTTATGGTTATGGGCTCAGCACTTGGTTAAGATGAGAGAAAGATTGTGATTTTGGTTAAATAATAAAAAAGTCAAGACTGACTGGAAGCATAAGACGGGATGTCTTTACTTTTTCAATATTTCAATGAATACACCATCTTTTCCTCAACCTTGTGCAAAGTGTTTTTGTTACCTAACCACATATGGGATGCAGACTGTGAACCCCGGTCTCCAGTGTCACAGCCCTGCATTTTGTAAGTTTGGTCGTATATAATGTAATTCCTGGGGGTTGATCTTTTATGACATTACATCAGAAATACAATATTGTCCTCTAAAAGCTTTCAATCTTTAAATAATCCTAAAGAAACGAAAGAATGTCGGCACTCACATCATGAGACACGCAGGAAGACACAGTCACATACACAAACAGTCAATCTGTACAACATCCTGACAATAAAATGATAAAAGGACTCCTTTGTTTAAGGAATCTGTGTAACACTGCCAGCGGTGGGATTTAGGTTTCCTCTTGCTCATTTATTTTGTCTCTCTGTAGTTGTAAACACCTTCTCCATTTACATCAAGTTACAGGCCCTGATGCTTTACCTACTACTATAGTAACTTTCAGAGAAACATGAGGACTGAGGATAAAGCAGGACGTCTGTGTGGCATCCTGTATGCACAGTATGTGTGTTCGGCATGCCCATAATATGGGTTGTGAGAAAAAGAGAGTCTTGTGGACACCTGAGAAGTAATTGTGGTTAGATCACCCTCTAGGTAATGATAACACCGGCTTTCTCCCCAGAATTTATCCCAGAAGTGCAAACCAGATTGATGAGGGAGGTCA